TTATTTGAGTTGAATCAGAACACAGTAGTGAAATTCAGGTCTGATATATATGACATATAAGACAGCATAATGTTTGTTATATTATTTTTGTCCTTTTTCAAGAATAATATCCTGATATAGCAAAGACTAAGGATAAGGATGACCCCCAGAAATTCTTGAAGATTAATGGAGAAAACTTTTGGCTAGCTGTTCGAAAGTAGTCACTGATTTGAAATGCAATACTGTTTGCAACCTGATCAATTGCTACAACTTCTCAAAAAATCGAGAATTCACAAACGTATATTAGTCTACAAAACCAAATAAAATAAATCTTAAGTGGAATAGTAACTTATCAAAGCAAACCATAACTTCAGTTCAAGTCGGCACAATTAAAATGGTTGACATTTTTTGAAATGGGGCAAATTTCTGGATTAGCTAGCTCAACTAGAAATATGATTTTTACAGTCATAAAAAAGTTGTATTATTGACTGATATGACAATGATATTCAATGAGAGGATATCAGAAAACAAACTTATTCACAAAAATTCAATCTACCATTTATGACAACGTGAACTGCTGTTATGGTCACTGTTGTGTCCTAAGTAGAAATGCAAATCTTCAGTAATAAAGGGAATTGTAATTATGTAGATAGTATACACATTATAGTATAATTATTATGTATAGTATTTATCTGTTGTAATAGAACATACAGGGTGTCCTGTTAATATCCTTCATTCTACTACTTATGAACACCCTGTACATATTTTCGTTGATGTCATTTTTAAAGCATTTGAATCTCAAAGCCTACTTTACGCTTATACAAAAAACACTGTATAAAACTTTATACAGGGTGACCGGAAAAAAAGGAAACCATTGAAGTAATCAATTTCTCCTAAACTAGACAAGTGCCATCAATGAAATTTTGCATACACTGGAACAGTTATATGGAAATTTGTTACTGAAGGTTTCAATACAAGCATTCAACTGGTTCAGGAGCTATGATCATTTACATAACATGCTCCAAATAGGCACAATTGAGACCAACGCAGAGTTGGATTCATATGGCAAACTACCCTTACATGTTCTGCCCTCTATGGCATTATTATGGCATTACATATAGCAGTGATTGCCTTCTTTAGGTCAACAATAGTCTGAGGATTGTTTTGGTATAGATTGTCTTTCAAATATCCATACAAAAAGAAATCAGCAGGATTCAAGTCTAGGCTGTAATGGCAATGAAGGGTTATCTGACATGTGGTTCATCATCCTGTTGCCAAAGTGCTGATTTACCAAATCTTAAGAGTCACTTTAGGTATTGGGCATAGTGCCATGTTACTAAAACCACTATATGGCACAATTAAATCCCATATGAAAACCAAGGGCAGCCCAAAACCTCCTTAGGATGATACTGTAACTGAGTGGGACCACTGAGTCAGAAGCCATAGGTCAGATAAGCTTCGTCTCCATACACCTCAAATTTGAATCCACCTGATTTCTTTTTGTGGGGCAATTTGAAAGACAATGTGTACCAAAACAATCCTGAGACAATTGCTGACCTAAAGGTGGCAATAAATGCTAAATGTAATGCCATAACAAGGTCGGAATATGTAAGGGTATTTGCCAAATGTATCCAGCTCTGCGTTGGTCTCAATTGCGCCTATTTGGAGCATGTTATGTAAATGATCATAGCTCCTGAACCAGTTGACTGCTTGTATTGACACTTTCAGGAACAAATTTCCATAGAACTGTCCTGATGTATGCAAAATTTCATTGATGTCACTAGTCTATTTTAGGAGATATTGCCTATTTCAATGGTCTCCTTTTTTTCCGGTCACCCTGTACATGATCCAAAGTTGTTTAAATATTCAGATTTAACTAAATGCTAAAGATCTTCAAGGAACAGTTCACATCAGGAAAATACACATATTAAAACCAAGACCAAGTTTTATAATACATATGTATACATAATCACTAGTTCAAACTAAATTTCAGAAAAATGCTCGGTCCCAAAGTATACCCTTGCTTTAATTATCATATTTAATTTGAGCGCTGTTAAGTGAAATTCTTAAAGGATCTTGCTCCTAAAAAGAACACTTCTTAACTCATGGCAGTCGAGACAATATCCTTTGACTTGTTCCTGTGATCTGTTATTTTAAAGGCCTCGTGCAAAAATATAGTTTATTCATTCAAATATTAATTTTCATGACTTGAGACACTATTTGATACATTTGGAAAATGTGACTTTTGAAAAAGAAGATGTTCATCTTACAATTTTCAAATATTTAAATTTCCCGCCATTTTAGTTTTGATGGGTATACTTGATTAGCAGACACAAGAGAAAGGTTAAATTTCTGACTGATCTGACACGAGTAAAAAGCATCTTTAAAATTGAGAGATCATTTAAGAAATCTTAGGTTGCGAAGCTATGAAAGTAATTGTGAAATATATTTCTATTTATATACTACACGGGTAGTATGCACACCCCAAATACACCACCAAATACTACAGCTTACAGTACCATTAGAACATTGATACGAGAACCATATGTGAGTATGGGTAGTGTCAATGCCTCAATGTCCCGCGAGCATCTCATGGTATAATCGGGGCATGCGTACTTCCTGTTAACTAGAATGTGCCTTTACAAGTATTAGACCAAGAGTAAGCTATGACACAGCCATCTCTATCTAATGATGTGTTAAACCCAGTGCAAAAATCACAATGGCCATGTTTTCAAATCAAGAAGAGAGTAGAAAAGAGTGGAATTAGCAAGGAATAAAGTAAATAGGCATGTAGTTAACACTCTAAATTGTATAGAAATGCAAGAAAATCAGACACTTCATTCAAATTTTAGAGAGAAATAAGTGAATAAGCATGAGCAAACTGACATTATTACTAGAGAGACATGTGTTGAAAAGCATGGCCGAAGTGATCTTTCAAGATGGGTGAAGAAATATGATATGATTATCTACATATGCTTATTTGTTAATCACTGTGATTTTAATCCTTATTTACTGTACATCCATTTTCACATATAAATATTCTTATAAAATACAATTAATCATTCAGGTATTTAGTGACCTCGGTTAACTCTTTAACTTCCAAGGACTGAAATTGTAGTTTCCCAGGAGTAGAAGAGTTAAATTGTTATCAATATATTCTAGCATCACAATACCATATCAGTCTATATTCACTTTTTAGTATCTTCAACATGGTCTATAGTCTGTACCAGCATAAACGAGCCAAACTTTTATGAAATATTTACACATTTTGGCTTATTTATGATAGGTCCAGACTATTCACTGCATCTTTGTCATAATCCCAAGTCCAAACTTGGTTCAGATTATTGCTATCAACCACTTAAAGAGCAGCTTTCTGATGGTGTATAACCCAATGTAATATTTCAAGGGGACAAAATTTCATGATATCCATAAAAAGGGGGTTAAAATACGAGATCACAGCAGCGAATTTTTTTAGAAATCAAAGGAGACTTATCAATGGAGTAGGGTCGTAAGTATTAGAGGCAAAATTATGGATATGCAAAGGTAAAATGCTGTACATAAACATAAAATTAATGTGCCAACTTGAATTTTTCAAGATCATTTTTAGAGAAAGGTAAATCTTATTGTACCTAGACACCAAGTATCTCTAATAATACCAACAAGAAGAGGCTCTATGATTTCTCAATAAAAATTGATCAAAGTCTAACAGACATTACCTCTTTTAATATAAAAAATTAACAAGATTAGAAATTTTATTCCTCAAATTTTTATCCCCCTAAAATATTTCATGGGTCTTTTAAAATAATCACCAAATCATACCAAATTTTATCCTGCTCCAAATAAATAAACCTACTACTCCTTAAATACTTAATTTATATTTGACAAAGATAGCAAAATAAGTGACGCAGTTTGAATACAAACTGTGGAAGTCCATGTTGGCCCATGAAGCCCGATTTTAAGTGACACATTCAGACAATGATAAAAAGGATGTATATTTCCTATCATTGTCCAAACTTTAATTTAGTTGTGACCAATAAATCAATCCAAGAATTATAATTTTCTGGTTTTACTCGTTGAATACTGACTTGAATATGACTAGTGACCTTAATGAACCAATTAAATAATAACAATTATTTCTTCATCAAAATCAGATAGATTACATATCAGAAATGTGTAAATGTGAAATTTTGAGGTTGGGGAGTGGGGTTACCTGAATTTCATTTTCTGTTTCAGTTATACATTTTTTTTACCATTTTAAACTAATTTCTTGGTTGAAGTCGAGCAATGTCAGTTTCGTTAAATTTATAACAATCACTTTGACAATAAATGTGAGCTATATAATAATACTCTGTCAGCTATCAGACATTAATTGTTTACCAAACATGAAGATACCTTGGAAATATAACTAGAGGATATTTAATGTCCATAGTTACTTGTACTAAATATTTACTTTGAATTGTAGAGCAATTTAGAAACTGATAATCGTGTAAGGTAAAATTATAAAATTTGAAAAATGACAGCCTAGTGAGGTTTTACAAAATGGCTCCTACAAAGTTTTTATAATGGGGAATAAGTTCCATATTCAATAAAGACCAGAAAATCATATTTCTCATTCTGAATGGTTCAAAAATCTATGCGTAGAGCATAAATTATCTGGAGACAAAACCCGCATTGAGCACACCTCTCCTGGAATGTTGCCAGAAGCGGCCATCTTGGCAAAGCATTCTGGGATTGATCACCCACAATGCATCTTTCAACATGGCCACAAGATAGCATATTTAGTAACCCTCAAACTGACCACGAAACTGAGGTTTAAAAAAATTTAACGATTCAAAACGAAAAAAAGGAATTTGAAATGAGGTAGGTTAACAAAATGATCATATTGAGTCATTTAATGATTCATAAAAAATTAAAATTTGAACAAAATTATGGCTCATGTGGACAGTTGCGGCTACTAAATATGCACATCAAGTTCTAAGATGAAAAACACTTTTTTAGAATGAAACTTAATAATAACACACCTATACAGGTTCCATCACTAAGGTTCATACCCGCACAGTTTATATATGGTGGTTTTTCTGTTGGCACCGAAGATGTGCTCGTCTTTACTGTGCTAGAGCTCTGTGGGTGAGTAGATGTGCCGTAGAGCACTAAAGTCCAATTCTTTAACTTGGCTGTAATTATATAATAAAATATTAATACATATCTTAATATTATACCTTTCAAATATATATATATTACAAAAGCATATATTCTTTATTAGTATATAGTTGAAATAAACATGTATATAAGTGTTAGTGACAAATAACTATCATATTTCAAAAACTTAAATCGTACAATAAAAAGAACATTTATCAGAAAATACATATTCAAGTGATAACTAATTATATATAAATTAAAAACACATAAAATATACTAAAACAATGTTAGTGTGTTTAATTTAACTACTTTAGATGCATTTAGTTAAACCAAGTTGCACTGGTATTCATAAATAAGTTTCAGTTCTGAATATTTATTAAATAATTAAATACTGCATAAATGACAAAATGAGTACAGTCCGATGCACAGACACAGGAAGTTGTTGACTTAGCCGAGGACTGTTCTTTTCATTTTGTCATTTTTTCCAATAATCAATTTTTACTTGAGAACATTTGAATTGAACAAAATAATTATAAATTTATAGATTCATTCATCACATATTTTAATACTGGAGAAAAAAACTAAAAAACAATATCTGTACAACAGAATTACAAACATTTATTGTCAATTGGTCATTCATATCTGGTTTAAACTGACCCAATTATTAGCCCTTTCTTCAATATGCAAATCTGGATATGAATTTCATCTTAGGGGAAGGTATTAAATAATTTAAAGAATATGCCCCAAATGAACAAGATATTGCCTGATGGACTGATCAGATATTTTCAAAAATAATAGTTTGAATAGCTTTTAATCTTTATCTGATTTGACCTTTGACATGCACAAATTGAGTTGAGCCCCAAAGTTTAATGTTTGTTCAGCAGGAATCTTTTTTAAAAAAGACTGACTGTCCATGTATTTTATGAATCTATTTTCTCTAAAAATATGTAAATAAAGTAAATATATAAAATCCTTTATGAAGTTAAGAAAACTTTGACCAGGGACATCAACATAGTTTTGGATGAGTTGGTAGGTGACACTAAACAACACAAAACATTTAAAGGGGCAACAATTGGTCTTGATTCCCCTACAAATTACAGAAATTATGCTTTATAAATCTCATTGTTTAAATCAATTAAAATATTCTCAAGCTTTATAAATATTCAAAACTTAAGAAAAAAACTTATATCACATGTAGACAAAAAAGTTTTAAAAAATAATTACAATTTAAAAGGGACTGAATGATTCACTTGCAACACAATTTTTCCTGAAATTGGTGAATGAGAAAAACAGTAAAGAAATATAAATTTAAAAATATGCATGTGACAAAAACTTTTATAGCGCTCCATACTCCAATGAGTGTTTTTATCAAAATACATCACCAAAACTTAAATAAAACATTTTATATCATAAATATTCATAACCTAAATGAATTAACTCTTGGGCAGTTGAAAGTGAATCAAATCCAAATGAATGTCTACATATGATATAAAAACATATACATACATATATAAATATTAACATATGCCTTAATTACAGAGTTATATCGACAAAATATTTTGATAATATTCTTGCATTTGTTGGTATTAACAGAGACTCTATGTAAAAGGTCTGATACAGTGCAGCATACAGACCAAGTCTGCTTAAATTTGAGCTTGTTTATGGAGCAGCCTTAAGTTAAAAAGCTTGATAAAATCCTAATGGTTTTTCTGGCTTGTACAAGGGACTGAATTATCACTTTTTCATCAAAAGTGGTCAGGACTTATTGAGAAGGTCTGTTATAGGCCAAGAAGTAGTGACATCTGTGGAGTCTCTGTTTTGAACCACACTCTCAATCAAAACAGTTTGCAAATATACATGTAAAGAAACAGTTATGATTTATGCAAACTTAAACCATGGTTATAATTAGAAAAAAATTAAAGGACTACAGTGTATATAAACATTCTTTTAGAACAGCAGTTTTGAAAAAAAAATTGTTAAAAATTAAAATAATTGTCATTAAATATCAAACCAACTCTATGAGGGGAATACAAGCTTCTTTAAAACCATCTATCCCTGAAAAAATCTATCCAGGGATTGCTTAATATGGATGATTGGTAAATTAAAATCAGAAACCACATGATCAAAGCAGCCAATCGGAGTAAAAGCATCCATTCCGGAACAGTACATTGAAAGCAAAATAACGAAAGCCAATCCATTTTACAGAGCTTCCATTTTACAGAGCTTATCATTTATTTAACATTCATTAACTCAATAAATATGAAATTTAATTGACACATCAACTAAAATGCTGTTAACAGTTTAATGTCTGGGAAATGCTTGTGTACAAAAAGCTAGGATACAGTGACCAGATTGATGCTATCATAGGGTGTAGATAGTTCAAAATTAGCAATAAGTTATAGTATCTTTTGCTTACATACATTATTACAACCTATGACATTAAAAATCTATCCACTATATTTTAGTTTTTTTGGTGTAGCGAAAGAGGCCAAGCTTTAGTAGAAAATTCATGAGCATTTTGTTCTTGGTGCTAGTATGCTTTTCACTATAAAAAAGCTGTTTCCGCAATATAAACATCTGTTTCCTCGAGAAATTAACAAACTGCTGACTAAATGCATTAGATCAAATTAATAGTACGAAATAGCTATGCATGCATTAATATGCAATCACTGGAGTAGAAATGAGGATAGGCTTTAATGAAAGAATATCTATGAAAAATGAAGTTGTCTGACAAATGGCATTCACATTTGGAAATAATATTTACTTTAACATTCATATGTTTTCTGAACAGATATACACGACCATCTGCCAAGCTAAAGGATTGTTTTCTCATTAAACTGATTAATAAGAACTACAGTGGAATAGATTTAACTTGTAGCAAATTAATATTGATCAATATCATCCTGAAAATGAATTATGTTAATGTCTTCAAAAGATATATATGATCAGAAACAATTTTTTTTATTACTAAATCAGTCAGAAACTTGGAGATTAGCATTTTGGATGCATCACACCGTAAAGTATATTGTTACATATGTAAATAACAATATTTTGGATAAATTGTATGCATTATGGTAGCTTAGACTTTGTGTAGTGTAGTATATTTTATTTATTTTGTAACCACTTATATGTCAGTTTATGACATCTAGAGTCAATAAAAGATATATATTTTATAGTTTTAAATGTTATCAGTGCTTGGTAATATTAATAGCTAAACAGTTTAAGTGTTTGTAAAATCGTTGACGTATGAAACCATACAGTTCATAATCGTCTGATAACAATTCTTTCATCACAGCAATGCTTTCATCACTCGGTCTTACTTTGTTATGTCCAACATTTCCGTTTTCAACAGTTTTGTATATTCTCGTGAGTTCATTGGTAAAACTTGGAAGAATTGTTTCTATTGCTTTCAGTGTTTCATCAAAATGTTCAGTTATTCCTATAAATGTGTAATACTTCTCGATGTTAGTTTTAGCTCTTTGAAGTGACACCAACGAAGGGTTTATGTATTGTCCAGAAAACCATATTGGGTATCTGGATACAATCTTCTCATCTTTACACCCTTTATATGGCTCTGTTTTTAAACATTCTGCGGTTGCTTTGACACTCCTGCCCAAACAGCCAGTCAGAGAAATCCAATTTTTGATACAATACTCAATCGTTTGGCTTTTTTCTTTTTGCGTAAGCTTCAGTCGTTTTATATGAAAAGGTGCAACACGCTTGTAGTAATATAGGGATATCCATCGTTCGACCGGATCTCGTACTATATCAATGTAGAGTGGTTGCTTGTATCCAAGTTCAGTGAAATCCATAAAAGATAAATGACCCATAAAAATATAAGGCCTTAGTGGTAGAATTTTTGATGATATATACTTTTGTTTACTTTCAACGCTTTGCAGCTCAAAAGGACTAGGAGTTGGCCATGTGTATTTCGTGCGGTAATGTTTTGAGTATTTGCAAACATCACTTAAGATTCTAACAAAAGTTCCACTGCCACATTTCGGCATTTCACTGTAAATAATAAGTGCCTTATCACGGTTGTCACTTTCATAACCAATCAAATTCCTGGAAGATTTATTGCACTGAGAAACAGGCAATAAATTCGTAATTTCATGTCTTCCTTCATAATGATGCAGAGGCTCCTCGATTTTAACAACATCATCTGTCCAAAATGTATATAAGTTGAGAAGAACTAAAACTGTTACAGCAATGAATACAAGTCGTTTATCCATCGCAAAACTCTTCTGTTATAATTATTCAAAAGCAGTTAATGACTGCATCTAATGACTGACTCCAATATATTAAAACAATGTAAATGACAACGGAAATACTTTTTTTGAGTCAATGCACACTGAATAATCAATACCATGCAATTACAGTAAAACCTGTCTAAGTAGAACACCTATCTTGGACAATAAGGTGTGCATTAAAGATTTACTTTCCTTGTTATCTCAAAATCTGCTTGGAACTGTACCATTGGATTTCTATGGGAAATTTCTCAAAGAGAAAATTCTAGTGATTAAGGAATGCGTACAGTTTACACAATTTGAGAAATTATTGATTCCAATCCCTCTGAATTTTGAAAAATGAAAATACATATAAATAATTCTTGAAAATGAGAAATATTGTTTGGGATTATATGGTGCAATCTTATGTCGATAAAATGTTTTAATGTGTACTGATGTTTTTTGGATGAAAAACATAAGCGAAATGCATGAAAAAATCCCCCGATTCATTTGACAAACAACTCCCCTCCTTTAATGACGTTCCTATCTCTGTTGCACTTCATCTTTTCCATACCTTGGTTAAACCAATTTTAATGTATGCCTCTGAGATATGGTAAAGTAAGAAGCATGTAAAAGCCATAGAGGCAATACACTTATCATTCCTTAAATGTATGCTTGGTGTGAAAAAATCAACTGCTACACACGCCACCGTTAATGGAAAGCTAGGATGCTTTCCTTTAAACGTTTGTTTGACATTAAGTTGATAAATATTGACTTTGTGTACTAAAACTGCCTGAAGAAAATATGCTCAATAAATCATATTTATACGACCTTGAAATGGTTTGGGTTACTCAGGCACTTGGTTCAGTAAGGTAATTGATATATTAAAACAATGTGATTCGATTTCTCATTGGTTAATTCAAAATGTTGAAGATGATTACATAATACATGTTCATTCAAATGATTACAAAGAAATTAAAAAAACAATTATGAACTTCAATGAACTGGATATTCTTACTTGGGGGGGGGGAGTGGGTGGGGTATATCAATGATGGAGGGACAGTATTCAATTTTTGGCTGTTGAAGAACAAAGTTATTTGTTTATGGTAGAGGGGTTAAATTATGATTTTCTGATTTTTTATTCATCATCTTCAATAATTTATTCTCCACACAACACAATTGCCAAAGTGACGAAACATTTTGGGAAAAGAGATAAGAATATTATGGACTTTTATTATAGATTGTTTTTCCTTGTAACAATAGCTCAAAGATATAATATAATAATAAAAATATACTTTTTATACATGTAATGCAAGGTCATAAAGTATACTGTATAAGTGGTAATTTTGCCTAATCATTTAATTTGCCTATTTCCTAATTTTTGCCAGGTTCGGAAAATTAAATGTCGGAAATATTGTCTTTATAATGTTATCCAATGGGAGGTTTCTTGTCATTAGGAAAATTAAAATTAGGAAAATGATGAAATTTGACCATTCGGAACATTAACCACTCGGATTAAATACCACTAATACAGTATGTGAAACAGACTCTACAACTAGTGTGCCATCTATACAACTTCATTCATATTAATTGCAGTATATCAATTTCCAAGTTTATTCCTCAGCGATCTACATCTATCATGAGCCTAAGTAAGGTTGCACCATACGTCAGCGTAATATTTGGTTTCACTTTTTGGAACACGATTTAATAAGAACATTTCCAAATGTGAATGTGAACACAAAAGTAGGGATATTTCTTAACGTTAACAATTTTAGCTCGTTCAAGGAATATTCAAATTAGTAAACAACAAAAAATAAAAATTGTTTGAAAAAAACTTTAAAAACTGCTGTTCAATTAAACATTATAACCATAGCTAAATTTGCAACAATTCAATATACAAAACTATTTTTGAACATATTATTTTCATTTGTAGTGACCTCTGAAGAAAATGGTTATTATCCAAAATCAAATGAAAATGATTTGAATACGGGAGAAACAAGATAGTGATTCAATTAAAGTGACAGAAACTAAAATGGCTAAATTGGATTTCAATATCACATAATTTAAGATCACACAGAGTTAAGGTACAAGAGTTTTGTATGTTGAATATTTCATGCACCAAAGTCTAATCTGAGACCTTCAATGCAAAATCCACTTGGATTAATTATATGTTTTATCATAGGTAAACATTGTATGTAGCTAGTATTGCCAACTAGTACACCAAGTTTTTTTGCTGCTCTAAATACAGTAGAGATACCTATGATTTAAATATTAGTAAATCAAAGGTTTTATGCTACTTGTTTTCAGCTCTACCTATGCTATACTTTTGATTAGTTAGGTACTTCAAAGGTTTTAGGCTACTCAAATGTAAACAGGCGCCACCTATAATGTACCTAGGGGGCGTGCCATGCTAACTAATAGACTAGATAGAAAGAGGGCAATACCCATTAGAAATATCTCACTCGGGTCACGCTGACCTTGTTAAAATGTTGTTTGCTAAATCATGTTGATTGCCAATTCTCTATAATATTTTTGGCATTTCTCTACATTCAAGAGCACTGACTTAATTACTTTGCTGTTTGATTTTAGCAACGCATGTCTTTGATACCATACTAAGTGAAAGAAAACGTGACCGTTGTGAGAATTACGGGTATAAAACAACTCTTGCCTGTAGGTGTTTCTACGGGGCTCGTCTGTGTACTGGTGACCACGGAAGGTTCGCTCGCTACTTTGTAAGTAACTGATTTCTCAGTTGAAATCTTGACAAGGGGGGTTGTATTTTGGGTAGGCTTGGGGGTAAGGTCTGTCTTTGGGGTGATGGTCGTGGATTTCAGGGTAGTGGGTTTCGGAGTGGAAGTGGTCTTTAAGGTAGTAGTGGTTGAAGGTGAAGTAGTGGATGTGGTTGGAGGTGAGGTTGTGGGTGTTGTTGTAGGGGGAGTTGTGGTTGGACGAGGGGTTGAAAGAGGGATTTGATCCGTTCCATAGAGCACCAGAGTCCAGCTGTTTAACTCCGATGAATGAGCTGCAAACAAGACCATTATAGAAGGGTGTGAATTTAATCATGCATGACAGCCCAGTGCCAGGCCATTTCTAAACAACTCAGTGTCACAAAACTATAATACACATTTCAACATTGGTCACAATCTTCTATATATGTTTTCACACCTTTTCAATAAATGTTATTCTAAATAATTTCCAAACACAAGTGAGATATTACGAATTATCACATTTTTGGAAATTCAGTTCAACCATTGAAACAGTTGAAAATAGTTCAACCATTGAAAGCCCTTAAATAAATATAAATATTCAAAGTGAAGAAATTTCAATCTAGAATTCCATGACGATGGTGAAATGTTGTAAACAGATTGTGACATCACAAAGGGGCTTATGAATAGTTGAGTTTTTGACTAACAAGGGTATTTAAGAACACTTCAAAGTACATTACTCTACATATAGATACAACAAAGGGTAGCTGAATTTTCAAACATGCAACCTAATGCAAAAAATAATAAAAGGAGCAATTATATCTAATTTTGTTATTTTCATTTAAATATATTTTATTTCAAATATTTACATGCACTAATTATAAAAACTGAGCAACATTTCTATTTTTCTTATCTTAGTTATTTATCATTTTCAGTCCTTATATAATTGTAATTAATGTATAACAGTTTTTTTTAAAGTATGAGAGGTTGGTTAGAAATGGTTTGGCAACAAATTATTAGTAAAGGAAAGAAAGAAGTATTAGCCTAAAAATTAGATATAAATATAATCAAATATCTTTCGAAGATTTGCTACGAAAGATCTCTGATTTCTACAATTAATACGGAAAAACAAAACATATTTAATAATTCTACAGTGAGAATCAAATTATCGAACCCCTGAGTGAAACAGCTGAAAACCAGTTCAACCATTGAAAAGGTTGAAAGCAGTTCAACCATCGAAAAGGTTGAAAGCAGTTCAACCATTTAAGTTTAAAGCAGTTCAACTATTGCAGTTGAAAGCAGTTCATCCATTGAAAGTTATTATATAATAAAGTTATTATATAAAATCCAAAGTAAATATATCAATATCATTCAGGAGAGCTTCCTTCCTTCCTTGATAAACCCCCCTTCCCCATGACTCTAGATTCTCCTCCCAGGGGTTTGATTAAATCTGATTCATTTGATGTTAGCCGAGGGTGAGAGATCACGGCACCATGCGTGAGAAAATCCTGCAACAAACAACTAATTGGTTAGTGATGAACATAGCTCATGCAGTCACCCAGCATAAAATGACATACATGGATTCATTCAATGGTATCAACCCTTGAATAGCATCCATATGCACCATGTTACAAAGGGTGAAAGTAGAGACCTGTATCAGATGGGTTGTTGTAGCAAGAATAAGACCAGGATCGGCGTTTACCTGCGCAAGAAAAACAACAATACAATCTAGCCGCCTGTACATAAAATGTCAGTGTTCAAGTACAGAAATGTGAAAAAGAGTGAAAAGAAAGAACAAAATAACAAGACATGTAGTTAGTTTAGCCTTAAATTGTATAGAAACTAAAGAAACTAGAAATCCTAGAATTTTGAATAAGTGAGAGATTGTGTGATATTTGTAAGTCTAAATTGACATTTTATGTACAGGTATTCCTCCCTTTACAGTGAAACAGAGAGGAGTGCCGGGAATAAGGAATCGGTAAGAACAGATGTGAAGAATATTATTTAAAATTGATTTGATTTTAAAGAATTTGAAGGTTTGTAAGAACACATTACCCCTTTCAATATCATTAAGAACAAAAATGTTTTGGAAAATACATCACTGTCTTGGAAGACAGCATGGTTTTGGAAAAGATGACAATGTTATGGAAAATACAGAATTGTTTCGGAAAATACAGCATTGACTGAATTGTACATTTCCAGATATGTAAATTTTGCAATTGAGAAAGGATTGTTTGAAAAGACAATCTCATTATCAATGGTTTAAGACAGGTAAAAACTTATTACGGAATAGACAGAATAATTGTTTTGGAGGTGACACATATTATTGAAACAGAAACTACTATCAATTTAAAAGCAGGTAAATAGTTCTAATAAACCATCAATTATTGATGTTTGCTTTAAATATTTCACAAATACCATGAAACGCAGAAAATCAATAATATCATAAAAATGCAATACTAAAGCAAACAGAAAAATTATTGGGAGCAGTACTCATGATCACTTTAGAACAACTATTTACTCCACGGATGTTACAACAAGAACAAAAATGATTTAGTCGTTGGCACACACAGTCAGCCAAAGCTTTTTATGATTTTAAAATCATAATTTGTCAGAAATTAAGCAAGATTTCAATCGTACAAGCATATTTTCCAAAATTAAAATGACTTGTGGTGGTCAAATTATCTGAGACAATTTTTTTAGGTTTTTCCTTCAATTTTGTCTAGATTGCCTAATAATAAGGTAATAAATACTCATATAATATGAATAATCTTTAAAAAGAGGAGACAACCTACATGTCATTCTTGGTCCAAGCATCCCCTCTAATGGAGGTTTCTTCTTTTGAATTTTTTTTTTATTTTCTTTTGAATTGCATGATTTTTGATTATCTTCCTAGACTGATGTGCATTTTCATCCAAATAACACTAGAATAAAGCTAAAGTTATGATTTTCTTCTACAAAAGTTGGGCCAAGGATAAGCATATGTTGCACTACAAACAACAAAAGTGACAAAAAAAGGTGTGATATTTTTTTATGCGATTTAAGATTTTGAGTGGCCTCGGTGAATTAAGTATGGGAAACTGGCTGAAGTGTAAATGAAGTGTAAAATTTTGCAGATGGAACATATTTACAGACCAATCAAAAGTAAGGTCATCCTTCAAATATGGGCCAATGTGTGACAGTAAATTTTCTCCTCTCTGTCTGATATCATGAGATTCTGTGCAGAAATTTGACCACCTTGTTAGGGTTCCATATTCCTCGGGAAAATAATAGTCCACAGTATATTAGTGAAAGCTATTGAAGGGGTCCAAATTGCTTTATTTTAAATTTTATTTTGACTTATATAATTTTTTGTTTTGAGTATATTTACACATTGTTAAGCTGGTTGCTACATAGCAGGAAATGCACATCTTAAAACGGACACTATTTCAAACAGACAAAGAGTGGCCTAAATGAGCAAAAGATTGATATCAATCATATCCTTAGCACTCCATAGACAACCCTCAAATAAAAATCCTCATTTCAAAAAACAAAATAGATGTAGAAAAGCTACAAAATGGACCCCTTAGATAAGTTGCGATAAGCAAACCAAATCTTGCAATATACACTTTAATATTTGCTTTAGGATATATCAATCAAATATCTATCAAGTTTTGGGTTCAAAATGTCCATCAAAATGTTTTTTCCATTAAAGTTCGCTCTAAAATTTGCCTGAATTTTTGGCATTTCTATACAATTTAGAGTGTTGACTACATGTCTGTTTACTCTATTCCTTATTAATTACTCTATCTTCGACTTTAAACAAAATTCTAAAATATGGTACCGATGACATTCCAATTTTGGAATATACGCCGTGGTATAACAATCCACAACCCAGAGACAACCAAGAGATTACATTTTACGTGCCCTTAAATTTTACCCAGGAGTCAATGGATATGAATGTACAATATAAAGTCCATATAAGGTAGGATTTATATTGTTAAAAAAACATCAATGATACATTAATACAGTCAAACGCATGGCTCGATGAGCCTTTGCGGTGATGCTTCATTAATTTGTACAAATTGCATGATAGGCAAGCAGGTCAAGATATCAATTTTTTCAATCAAAATTAATTTAATAAAGTCTCCTTATCTTAAAAATCATTGTCATAAAAACTTAAATATGTTGTTTGTGAAATGGCCCGTGATAGCTAATAACAATTTCTTGTGGCTTACAACAATGGAGAAAACCCAGTTCCATGGACTCCTGCATACAATTTTAGAGACATACAATATAATACCAGCACCAGACAATAAAACATATGTAGTACTATACAAAAACAAATTAAGACCCCTTGTACAAATACAAAATAAAGACCCCATCAAAACAATGAAACTTACATGTACTGCCTGAATTTTCTATTTCCAGCTCCCAGGTTCCATCTGGGTTTTCGCCCCAAGTGTGGGTGCTCATAAACGCCCAATTAGAGAAGCCTTCTCGGGATGTGTCCCTGACTCTCTTAGCCAATAGGGTGGCTCGAGTCCCCATGGGTGATGTCAAGAAGATTGTGAGATCTCCACGACGATTTGACTGCAAAGTTATACGTGCCTAAAAAACATAATAATAAGGTAATTTGCAAATAATTAAGTTAAATTGCACAAAGTGAACGAACAAGTATAGGATTTTAAAAAAGTCATATTTTTCTCAATACTAAACATGATTTAAATTTTTTTTCCTCAGTAAAGTGTATTACCCTCTTTAATAAAATATCATTTTAAAAAGAATAGAGAACAACGATAACAAAAAATAAATGTGAATTTTAATACCTGGACGTGCTCCAGATATCGCACGTGGTGTTGGGGACTCCCCTGACAGCTGTCACTCGACACAGCCGCCCGCAGACGCCCATTTACAGGAATCTGTCTGAAAGAACAACACAACATGAGTATACACAAGGCAATAACATGAAAAAAGTCACCACCTGCCATGTGTTACAGACAACAACCACCAAACGTTGTCCCAAATGCCGAACATTGTCCCAAATGCCGAACGTTGTCCCAAATGCCGAATGCTGTTACAGACACCAAATATATTAGAGGGTATGACCTGATTTATGAGATATTATTTTTATCCAGTAGATACCATTTACTTGTATAAATGTGACTCATTTGCACATATCAGCTCATACACTGCATCAGTAAAAATTGTGTATCATTCACAATCACATGTATATATAAAATATAATAGTTCTTACTTATTTTTATCTCCACTGGGTATCTCACATATATGCTGTTCTGGCACATTTGTCCAGTTGAGCGCCAGCCCTACCATATTAGAGGCGTCCATTAGACCGTAACCAAAAGAATGACTCACTGAAAACAAGAGCGCTTGAATTTAAATAAAGCAGAAGGTATTAAACATTGGGATATTATGGAATGTTTTGGAGGCACTTAGTTTTAGTTTCAATTATTTTACAATATGATAAAAGTACTGTGCAAAAGATAGTTGTGTTGTATTACAAACCTTTACGCCCCACCCCATTGGTAACCCAGTCAGTGGAGTGCAGGCCCTCAGGACGTGCGGTCATCACTACAATATGTTGCATGTCCCGCCATGTTAAGCCAGGGCTGAAATGATGAAGATATAAGACAATGTACACTGTGCTTAATTTCCGAAGTAGATAATGAATGTACATAGATTTCATAATATTGCACAACTTATTTCAAGGGTTATGGTAGTATTTTCTAGGATTCATTATTTTACTAAAACCTTTTTATATTTGGCATGGTTTATAATATGAATTGCAATTGAGTTATATTTAAGTCTTAATTTCCCTTTAAGGCCAGGGTGCATATTCCCCCTGCTAAAAGAGCACTAGCAGAGGAATATTATATCTAAGACTTACTTTGCCTGCAAGGCCAGGGCACAAATGCCTCCTGCTAAAGAACCACTAGCAGAGGAAAATTATATCTAAGACTTACTTTGCCTGTAAGGCCAGGGCACATATGCCACCTGCTAAAGGAGCACTGGCAGAGGAATATTATATCTAAGACTTACTTTGCCTGTAAGGCCAGGGCACAAATGCCTCCTGCTAAAGGAGCACTGGCTGAGGAATATTATATCTAAGACTTACTTTGCCTGTAAGGCCAGGGCACATATGCCCCCTGCTAAAGGAGCACTAGTAGAGGAATATTATATCTAAGACTTACTTTGCCTGTAAGGCCAGGGCACATATGGCCCCTGCTAAAGGAGCACTAGTAGAGGAATATTATATCTAAGACTTACTTTGCCTGTAAGGCCAGGGCACATATGGCCCCTGCTAAAGGAGCACTGGCAGAGGAACATTATATCTAAGACTTACTTTGCCTGTAAGGCCAGGGCACACATGGCCCCTGCTAAAGGAGCACTGGCAGAGGAATATTATATCTAAGACTTACTTTGCCTGTAAGGCCAGGGCACAAATGCCTCCTGCTAAAGGAGCACTGGCTGAGGAAAATTATATCTAAGACTTACTTTGCCTGTAAGGCCAGGGCACACATGGCCCCTGCTAAAGGAGCACTGGCAGAGGAATATTATATCTAAGACTTACCTTGCCTGTAAGGCCAGGGCACAAATGCCCCCTGCTAGAGGAGCACTGGCAGAGGAATATTATATCTAAGACTTACTTTGCCTGTAAGGCCAGGGCACAAATGCCCCCTGCTAGAGGAGCACTGGCTGAAGTCCCTGTATGTGTTTCTGTACATTCCTTCCTAAGGTCTGTAGTTACCTAAAAGAACAAATACAAAATTTGTTAAGTAAAAAAGTCAGTATCGAAACCCCCACTCACAAACTTGCTTACTTAAGCTCTTAAACCAACAAAAATCTTTTGATAACTCCCCCCCCAATAATTCCGTTAAAGAATCTTGTACAGAAAAACTCTTTTTGAGATAGATTTGTAAAAATTAGATGCAGATATCTTACTCAAAAATCAATAAATATTTTAATGGAACATTGTCCCAGTTGTGTCACAGACTTTAAATTGCCTTGTAACGACATTGTGCAATTACTCCCTTCAGTAGATTATTTTTTCTGCATGTATATATAGGAAAAAATACTGCAAGTGGTCCAATTAGTCCATCTTTGACAAGCATATCAAAATCTTTATGAAGAGCCTTGGCCTTACTTGATTTATAAATTCTAACAAACCAGGAAGCGAAATGCTCTAATACAGGAAAATGGCTGTGGTTTAATATCATGTATTTCACATTATTGTGGTTGAGATCATTTCCTATTTCTCACAGACTAATATCAACAACTACTTCTAGAAATTTAACATCCACAGGGTCATATGAAATGAATTGTCATTGGAAATTACTGAAATCAAAGAAGGGTGCCCCTCTTAGATGTTAATGTAAAGAACAACATTGAAACAAGACTTGGTATCTAAATCTTGAAACAACACTTCTCAGTTGTAGAAATGTCCGTCTGCTCATGCTTATTTCACTCCATTTCTCTCTAAAATTTGAATAAAGTGTCTCATTTTCTTGCATTTCTATACAATTTAGAGTCTCAACTTCATGCCCATTTACTTTATTCCTTGCTAATTCCTCTCTTTCATACTTTATTTCATGTTTTAAAACATGACTATCATGGTAATTTCTCACAGGTAAGACTGTATCAGGTTGATGGTAGAAGTGTGTTAAGTGACATTTGATCCAAATCCACTTATCTCCAAAAACACGAGCAGATGAAACGTCTTTGGGGTTCATGTTTTAAAATGCAAAATAGAGTATAAAGGGGAGAATCAACAAGGAATAAAGCGAACGGGTTATTTAGTAAACACTCCAAATTGTTTAGAAATTCAGAAAATGAAACAGAAAATAATTGACATCTTTAGATAGGCAAGGAAAACCGCATTTGTTTGTATAATAAATGAGCAACATAATCTTATATTTAATAGATGGCAGTAAAGTCATTTTAGATGTTTCAAAATACAACAAGTGGTAAAACTTCTAGAAATACTCAGAAACACCTGCTGATAAACCATTTCTTATCACTGAAATAACCAGGAAAGTCTGAACATTAGGCCGAGAAAATTGAAACTTCCAACTTGCTTAGCCAGCCAAGGATTACTTCTAAAACCAATGACATAATTTTCAGGCTAATGAGTGTTTTTGGTGAAAAATGCCTTTCTCCCGACCTAAGGGAAGCTGATTACTATTCAGCCTAGAATATAAGAGGAACCAGTATGAGACTCGTAATCCTTGATTTTCAAGCACCTGGTAGTTCAAAAATTAGTTCATAGTATCGCATGAATATAACATTTACATGTATTCAATAATATACTTGGAATTAGTATAGTAAAAACAAATAGTATACAGTCTAATTTTCTTTTTTCAAACAACAGTTATAATCATATGTTTCAAATGTCATGATAAACTTACTATTTGTTTCTCGCTGCCTGACCCGCTACTATATGTAGAAGCAAGCGTTGAACTACAGGCCTCTGAATACCACGGAATGTTGCCCTTTTCAGAGGCACTGCTGATTGACAGTGTATAAATACTGTTGGTGTAGCCGTCGCAGTTGCATGAATCTCCGTCACGACCACCATTTCCCGATGCCCAAACAAATATGGACCCCTTTCCTCCACGACCCTGTAAATAGATAAATAAAAATAAAATAATTACATATTTATTTGCTGTTTTTTGTAGTGTCCTTGCATATGTGGTACATTGTAAGGATAATTTTGCTGGTTGAAATTGTAATTTATAGACAAATAGAGGCACATTCATATCTCTGAAATATACTCAGGTGTTTTACAGGGAGAGTTCTGACAACCAACACGTGCCTCTTTAAATCTAACTGACATGATTTGCTGCACATCGTAGATACAACTATATAGTAAAACCTCTCTAATTTGAATGCCAGTGGAATCCCTCTCTAATTTGAATGCCAGTGGAATCCCTCTCTAATTTGAATGCCAGTGGAATCCCTCTCTAATTTGGATGCCAGTGGAATCCCTCTCTAATTTGAATGCCAGTGGAATCCCTCTCTAATTTGAATGCCAGTTGAATCCCTCTCTAATTTGAATGCCAGTGGAATCCCTCTCTAATTTGAATGCCAGTGGAATCCCTCTCTAATTGAATGCCAGTGGAATCCCTCTCTAATTTGAATGCCAGTGGAATCCCTCTCTAATTTGAATGCCAGTGGTATCCCTCTCTAATTTGGATGCCAGTGGAATCCCTCTCTAATTTGAATGCCAGTGGAATCCCTCTCTAATTTGAATGCCAGTGGAATCCCTCTCTAATTTGAATGCCAGTGGAATCCCTCTCTAATTTGAATGCCAGTGGAATCCCTCTCTAATTTGAATGTCAGTGGAATCCCTCTCTTATTTGAATGCCAGTGGAATCCCTCTCTTATTTGAATGCCAGTGGAATCCCTCTCTAATTTGAATGCCAGTGGAATCCCTCTCTAATTTGAATGCCAGTGGAATCCCTCTCTAATTTGAATGTCATTGTAATCCCTCTCTAATTTGAATGCCAGTGGAATCCCTCTCTAATTTGAATGCCAGTGGAATCCCTCTCTAATTTGAATGCCAGTGGAATCCCTCTCTAATTTGAATGTCAGTGGAATCCCTCTCTTATTTGAATGCCAGTGGAATCCCTCTCTTATTTGAATGCCAGTGGAATCCCTCTCTAATTTGAATGCCAGTGGAATCCCTCTCTTATTTGAATGCCAGTGGAATCCCTCTCTAATTTGAATGCCAGTGGAATCCCTCTCTAATTTGAATGCCAGTGGAATCCCTCTCTAATTTGAATGCCAGAGGAATCCCTCTCTTATTTGAATGCCAGTGGAATCCTTCTCTAATTTGAATGCCAGTGGAATCCCTCTCTAATTTGAATGCCAGTGGAATCGATCAAGTGTTAAGATTTGGTGGTGTTCACATTTTGAGTTTTTTAACAAGGAAGTTAATGGCAGTTTAAAATGAGGGATTAAAATGCAAAATGTCACCACCTGCCATTTGTTACAGATGCTGAACACCAACCACCAACAGCTGAAGACCGTCTACACAAAAGTTGGAGACTATATCAGTTGAACACCATCCACAAAAAAGTTGGAGACTATATTAATTGGATTGCAAGACCGTTAACATTGTGAGATGTTCAGATGAGAGGTGTTCCAATATGGGGATTTGATGGTATATGCTATCAATAAAAAGATACCAGTGATGAGTGTAAAAACTGTTAAGGAGCATTTAATCATGAAACAATATTGTACCAAAGAGACTTAATAATAGGTTTGTATCAACAAAGCCCTACTAATAGCCACATTTAAAGCCTAGTAGAAACTTTAATGTAAGAATGTTCAGATTTTGAGAGTAACATCTTGAAAGTGTTATACATTTATTTATTTATTTATTTCATTTTTGTTTATTTCATAAAAAATCTTTAAAATATACATTATAAATGTTTTTGGTTTCCTGACCTTGAAGAAAAAATCACTCATCTTGAATGTAAGCCAAATGAAATGGTTTGATTTAGTTTGTTGGCCTAATAACCTCCATATAACACCTAACACTTTGTTTAGTAAATATCCCTCCCATAATATCCAAGGATGTTTTAAAATGGAAAATAAGGGGGAAAAGAGTGGAATCAGCAAGGAGTAAAGTAAACAGGCATGTAGTTAACACTCTAAATTGTATAGAAATGCAAAAAATCAGATACGTCATTCAAATTTTAGAGAGAAATTGAGTGAAATAAGCATGAGCAGACGGACATTTCAACACATAGGTAACATTTGACTGTGATCATGGTGATATGATATATGAGTTTCGCTTAAGTTTATACTAAATCATTTACACAAATATCTGAACTACTTCATTTAATGGAATTTTCATATAATTTAGAAGTATAAGGACGTGTCAGTTTACTTTATTTCTTGCTTGATCCACATCTTTCCACATTTGAAAACTTCACAATGATGACATATTAATGTAAGTTACATATAAACAATGAATTTGTGTTTATCAATAAACTGAACCAGCCTGAAAATTAAAATCTATGAGGTCAATTTTTAAACATGAATTTAATTACCAAAGAGTGAAATCAGCGAGGAATTAAATAAATGGGCAAGTAGTGAATAGTCTAAATTGTACAGAAATGCAAAATATCAAAATCCAAACAATATATTGAGAGAAAATAACAGAATAAATATGAAAAAGATTTTGATTTTAAACACAGATCATTTCTTTATGTTATGGGTATTTGGTCTCCCAAGTAGATGTGTCTAAACAAAGATGTATCATTTGCCTGAATAATTGGAGAGATATTTTTTGAATTAGTTTCTAAATTTTTCATCTTCAAAAAATATGCTGTCTTCTAGTAAATTCTAGTCTTTAACAAGTAGTAATCTAACATCAAGTCCCAGTTATTCAATAGACTGACGAGAAAATTATAATATTTTAAGGAGGTTTACAACAATTGACATGGAAAGGGTGAAATCTGTACATGGCAGGTAGATACCTCATGTTTATTCCACATTATATGTTACTTAGTGATCTCCCCCCGGGATATTTTCGCAACTGGGTGCTAAATCCTCACTCTATCTGTTTTTTTAGTCAAAATATCTCAATATGTCCCACTTTTGGCACGTTGCAGGGATTTTTAGGATTGGGAGGCATGTGATTTTCAGATTTTTAACTCGGCATTGCGCCCATTTGCACTAATGCTTGGAAGATAACTGGTTACTATGGTTATGGTCATTGGGTATCGGACAACTACAAACACGCAAACAAACCTTAGTTACGCCATCTGAGAATGCCTTCCTGGCGAGAGCTGCAGGGCCATCGACAGTTCTCCCGTCATCATCCGGACCCCAAGAAGCGCTGTAGATATCAATATGGTTCGGGTTCAAGCTGAGTGCTTCAGCTTCTACTGAATCTGTGACATCACCATCCAACATACGGACACCTGAGGGAAATAAAATCAAAATCTTTTTTAAATATACAATTTATATAATAATACTAGTGGAATAATGTCAGCTTACATGGTAAAATATTTGAAAGTCTGAAGTTATTAAAAAAAAAATAAACTGTTTTAATAATTAACTGAATGTTGTTCTTGAATATAATTGTATTGTTTTGAAAATCAAAAATCAAATAATAAACAAATAATCTTAAGCAGAATCTTAAGTCCAAACAACATTTTTGCAGGAGATTTATTTTGTTTATTTTACTATATACTTTTAGTTGAAGGGCTGGTTATTCATTATACTTCCCACCTTAATTAGCAACATTATTGATTCTTCTTAACCACCTTAATTAGCCAGATTGTTCATTCTATTTTGTCTACCTTAAGACATTATAATTGCCTTCTAGAAGATATGTTTTATTGATATTCATGTTATTTTCCATAAACCCAAGGGTTAACTTTTATTCTATGATATCCTTTGAAAATTCTGAAAATAAATGATAATCATACTAATTCATTCAAAAATAATACTTATCACCCAAAGTTCACTGTGTTATGACGATTCTTTAGAAATAGAAGGAAATAAAATTCTATAGATCCCTACCATTAAACTGAAATAATTCTCACATGGGGAACATAATTGCAAAGAAAATGAAGAACCCGCTCTGTAAAATGTCCGTCTGCTCGTGTCAATTTCTCTCTATTTCTCTCTAAAATTTGAATGAAGTTACTGATTTTCTCTCATTTCTATACAATTTAGAGTGTTAACAACATGCCTGTTTACTTTATTCCTTGCTGATTCCACTCTTTTCTACTCTATTTTGTGTTTTAAAACATGACCACACAACATTTTCAAAGGGAACCTCTTTCCGCATTAAAAATAGTGAGTAGTTGTAAAAGCAACACTTGAGAATCATTTCAATATTCTGATATTTCCCAAAGGAAGGCACTTAAAATAGTATTTATTATCAATGAATGCACCAGGTAAACAAGTATTGTTAAAATATCTACCAATGAATAGTTTTATATCACAAAACAGATAGAAAAACAGGGCAATCAACAAGAAATAAAATTCCACTTTGTTGATGAAATCATAAAGAAATACAAGAAAATCACCTCAGAAACATAAACATGTATAGAACTCTCTATTAAACTGTCCAATTTACAGAGTAGTGCGAGACTGAAAGAAGAACCCTTCATCACCAGTTGAACTAACCTTCCAAATACCAGAAAAATAAAATATATACAGGGTGATCCAGAAGTAACGTCAAAGATGTTGTAATTTCAAAAGTATTCATCAGATCTTCATGAAATTTGGTATACATGTACCCACAACATTTCTGAGTTACCATCTCAAAGATTGGAATTCAATCATTTCATTGGTTGAAATTATGGTTGCTATAGTAACCCGATATCGCGTAACCCGGGGCAAATTACTTAACGTGTAATGCGTAATCTCAAAATATCAACAAGATCTGAAATTGTTATATCCTCAACATTTTATTTCACAACAATATAAATCATACTATTGCACAGTTACTAATAATAGTTCATTCTACATAATTGCCACCATTTGCAACACATTTCTCATGTCTGGATACCCATTCCTTGAACACAGAATTAAATCCATTAGAACTCATTCCTTGTAGGGCTAGTACTACGGCATTTTTCAATTCCTCACAGGATTGAAAATTATTTCCACTAAGGTTTCTTTTTAGTTCCCCATACAAATAAAAGTCACTGGGGGCAAGATCAGGTGAATAAGGGGCATGTTCAAGTTGTTGAAATCCAAGTGTTTGGACTGTGTTGCTGGTCAGGATTGCAGTGTGCGTAGGGGCATTGTCCCAATGCAAGATAAACTGCTGCAGATGTCCGGGACGCTTTTTCCTCAGGGAACGTTGAAGATCACGCTTCAGAACCTGAAAAACAAATGTTTAATGGTTGTTAAACCAGTTGTTTCATTGATTGGATTTGGATTTGAATCATGGCCATGGAGTTATAATTATATTGACAGTGAACAACATTTAAATACTTTAATTTAAAAATAAAATTCACAGTATGATGTATTATTAGAACAAATGATATCTTACCTTTGCAATGTAAACGGCATTAATTCTCTGGCCAATGGGAACAAAATGGGTTAACACCATTCCTCTAATGTCAAAGAATGTCACAACCATTTGTTTCTTTTGTGGAATTCCTGGCCCTACTATTTTAGGCTTGGTTGGTGTTGGGGAGTTGTCATGTTTCCACGATGAACTTTGTTGCGTGGTCTCTGGGATGTAGAATGATAGCAATGATTCGTCACTCGTAATGATCTTGTTAAGAAAGTCATCTCCATCTCTCCGATATTTTGCAAGAAAGTCCCTTGAAGCCTTAACACGCCGGTCTTTCTGCTCCTGTGTCAAGTCATGCGGCACCCATTTAGCAGACACCTTCTTTAACAGACAGTTCTTTGTCAGTATCCGTTGCACAGTCCCATAGCTCAGATCGTGTTTTTCAGCCAATTCTCTGATAGAAATTTGCCTATTGTCCATAACATCAGCTTCAATTGCTTTGATGGTTTGATCATCGAATGACGACACTGGCCTGCCTCCTCGCTGCTTGTCTACCACTTCATCATATCCACTGGAATACTTGTTAAACCACCTGTAAATGTTTCTCTCAGCAATGGCAGCTTTACCATATGCCTTCTTTATCTGTCTTATAGTCTCTTTTACACCTTTCCCCAACTTTACACAGAACTTAATGTTTGTTCTTTGCTCTATTTTACTCTGACTTGGCGCCATCTTGAATTGGGTGGGTTAGTGTCCTTGGTCATGTTAGTATTTGTCATGGATGATGGAAGCAATTCAAAGAAATTGAAAGCTTTTTATGAATGCCTATTGTGACATCACAACTATTACATATTTGTTACCATGGCAACAAATATAAAAATCATAGAAAACAAACAATGAACATTTTCAAATGTTACTGACTTTTTAAATTAGAGAAATTCACAAAAACGTTATGGTTTCTCTTCAATTTGCCCCGGGTTACGCGATATCGGGTTACTATAGCAACCATAATTTCAACCAATGAAATGATTGAATTCCAATCTTTGAGATGGTAACTCAGAAATGTTGTGGGTACATGTATACCAAATTTCATGAAGATCTGATGAATACTTTTGAAATTACAATGTCTTTGACGTTACTTCTGGATCACCCTGTAAGTAACACATATTCCCTTAAACTCTTCCAAATTCAATCTTCCCTCCTCCATATATCTTATCCTAGACCCCCTCCATATACACACTATAGACCTCCTCCATATAAAGTAGACCCTCTCAAGATATACTAGACCCTCGCTCTCTATTTATATATACTAGACCTCCTATCCTGCTATGGTAGGCAACTCCGACCCCACAATTCTTGTTATTTTTTAACATTGATACAGTCCCTGCACACCGTGTCCCATGTCTGCCGATGACACATAAACACTTATTTAGTGACACATAAATATAAAATATTGATACACAAGGTGTCATCTCTGATAAAAAAAGCATCTGACCCATAAGAAATATGGATACATAAATATAAAAATAGAGATATGTACAGGACACATAAATATTTATACATTGACACATAAATAGAAACATAGACACTTAAACATGCAAACTACAGCTAAAAGCAAGACACTTAATTAATTACATTACAGTAAATGTATGTAAGTAAAAACATTTCAAATATTCATGAATTTTCTCTATTGGCGACATATTACCTTAATAAATATATAGAAATTAATAAAATAAAAATAAAAGTTTTGTATAAGATATGAATACATATTTACTCGGGGTGGAAAATTTTCTAAGAGGCTCCGTTAAGGAAAAAATGACTTTATGAGCTGGATGGAATTTCTGTGTATTTTTTATTCTATTAGGGTGTCCTGCATAAAGTATTTCGCCTGCGAAGCATATAACTATTGCGAACATATCTAAATACTGGTAAGAAGAAGACATACCTTGAATTTTTTAGAAAAAATTGGCTAAAAATGGAAACTACAAGAAGTCAAAATGTTCAACTCAAACAAAGTTGTAGCTATTCTATATCAATATTTTGTGTTATGTTAGGTTTCTCAGATGTTTCAAGACCTTCATTAGTACACTTTTGTCTCGAAATGTGACATTTAAGGACAAAATTTGGCATTTTTAATCATTTTCGCTTTCAGCATTAACATATAGTTCCTTATATCTCGAGTTTAATGCTGACTGGTTGTTGCATTTTTGATTAAATCTGTGCTTGTACATGTGTTCTTCCATTTGAGGTATAGAAAATGTATAGTGGACAACCAATGTTCGTATGAGAGCTTTTAGATCTCCCCTACCCCATTTATTATGGAAAATTACCGAAAAATATGAAAAAATAAAATAACTTGAAATTATAAACTTTAACAAAGTTGTAGCTATTCTGTGTCAATATTATGTGTTATTTAATGTTTTTAAGATATTTCAGAACCTATATCGGTATACAAGTGGCTAGAAATGAGACATTTAAGGACAAAACTTGGCATTTTTTGTCATTTTCGCTTTCAGCAGTAATATATAGTTCCTCATATCTTTGGTTTTATGATGTCTGATTGTTGCATTTTCAATCAGATCTGTTCTTGTGCATGTCTTCTTCCATTTAAGGTACAGAAAATGTATAGTAGACAAACAATGTTCATATTAGAGCTTTCAGATCTCCCCTACCCCATCAATTAGGGAAAATAAACGAGAAATATGAAAAAATAAAATAACTTGAAATTATAGACTTTCATAAAGTTGTAGCTATTCTATATCAATATTATGTGTTATTTAATGTTTTTAATATTTTTCAGAACTGTTATTGGTATTCAAGTGGTTAGAAATGAGACATTTAAGGACAAAACTTGGCATTTTTTAATCAATGCTGCTTTCAGCGGTAACATATAGATCCTCATATCTTGAGTTTTATGCTGACTGGTTGATGCATTTTTGATTA